CAGATAGACCTCTGCTTGGACAGAAAATACAGAGTTATTTTTCACAATGGTAAGAACATTTTTTCTGAATAATTTTATTTCAGGTTTTAATGACTAAAGCACTGTGAGTCCCTTGCAAATGCATGAATTCTTTTTCTTAGTGGCTGTAACGTTGTTTTTTGAAAGCTGTAGCTTGTAGTAAGTTATTTCCAACTTTTACTTCCCTTATCTGAAGGAGAGGTAAGGTGTATAGTTTTTTATGCGGCATATCACATCAGCTGAAACAATAATTAGAGGAAGTTGTAAAACAATTAAATCATTGTAGTATAAGTAAACATAGTAAGGATGAACTTAAAAGTTACTGTAAAAAGAAATTGTGTTTCTTTAATCAGAACTCTGCCTTCCCCAACGAAATAGTTTTTGAAGGAAATAGAATGTATTTTCAAAAACTTTGTTGAAAAAAATCTTTGTAAAATGCATTTAAGAAAAATCAGAAGTCTTGGAAACGATGCCTATAGCAGACCCTTTCTCACAGGTGCTCATGCCAACCATTTCACAGAGGGTTGTGGAAGAGGAACATATCCCTCATACTGGAAGCATGACCCTGTCTTGAGTCATATAGTCAGGCTAAGCTTGCAACACAGGGAACGATTCAGATTAGCTCACTTGTGCTCAAGTGTATTAGAAAAGACCAAATGGTAATTTATGCTGCTTTAATCAATGACGTAGAAGAAAATGTAATATACTTACTGATAAAGATTACACCCTGAGTGGAGAATAGTAAAGACTGAAGAAGGTAGATCAGAATATTTAGGACAAATAAAATAGCAGTGCATCCATCCCTAGCCCCTGCCTTGCATTCTGGAAGACATGATGTCTGCAGAAGACTTGACTGGTTAACCAGCTGAATGTGACTTCCTGGTGTCAGGCTGTGGCCAAAAGATTTCATGTGATTCTTGGAGGCATAAACCGGGGATGCAAAAGATGAATTTACAGATTCATATGAGGCTGTTGTGCTTGGCATACATCTGCTTGCTGTGTAATGTTTCATGATAATTGTAATGGAAAGGGGTACTGAGGATGAATTGGAAGTTTCAAAGAAGAGCAGAGAGAATGACTGCAAGTTTGTAAAATGTGTCCTCTAGTGAGTGCTTCAAAGACCTTGATCTTTTCTCATCAGAAAGAGGTTAAAGGCTGACCTGAGCAAAGTTTGTGCTTGCCCACACAAGCAATGGGAATGCGATAATGAAGGACTTGCAAACATTGCAATAATAAATTGAAATGGATGGAACTTTAAGCTGGACACATTCAGAGCAGAAATAAATAGCCATTTGTTTAGCTCCAAAGGTCATTAACCTTTGGAACAGTTTACTAAGAGCTGTTATATGTTCTTCATCACTAAATCTGTAAATCGAGATTATCAGCTTTTCTAAATAACATGTTAGAATAAACTGGAGTTGACTGAAGGAACTTTTGTGGAATTATAAAAAAAGTCAGAACAGATGAGCACAGTCAGCTCTTGTGGCTCTATTAGCTGTTCATCTGATCTATAAACAGAGAGTAATATATTGCCATGTTGTAAAGTAGGCATGCTGATAACAAGGTGCCTGAAAAATCTGCCAAGGTGGGTGGTGTTTAGAATACTGATTAGTGACCTGGGAAAAGTACCTGACAACAATGAAAATAAAAATTTTGTCCTGAAAGAGAATTTGGAGACAACATAAAAGACAGCTGAGGTTTAAGACAGTCAAAACTAAGAGACATCATAAATGAGAATAAAATTGGCTTTTATGAATGATGCATATGATTGCATAAAGGGTACAACAGAAAAGAAACAATGTCACTATATAAATTGATGATCCTTTCTTGTTTTGAATGCTGTGTTCACTGCTCTTCAAAAGAAGTACAGCAAGAGTAAAAATTTCTGAAGATGAGAAAACAAAACATTAAATCTAAGATAAAGGGTATTAAATCTAAGAAAAAGGGTAGAAATACAGCTATTGTGATGTGGCTTTAAGAGGTGTGCCGTATGGTGGATCCTTACATTTCTGCCAAACCCAAAGAAAGTTCTATCCCACTGTAGAATCATGATACTAGGCTAGTCCGAGTACTGGTCTGATTCAACATGGTGTGGTTTTATTATTTCTACACTATATGAGGCTTGCAAGGCAATAAATGTATCGTATTGTCAATCTTTGCAAGAAATTATAAACCAAAAAGAAAAATGGAATATACTAATGTGTTAATAATTTATACGTAATAGACTATAATAGAATGCTTGTGGTTTTTCACGGAATATAGAACCAATACAGTAACTGAAAAATAAAAGCTCAGGAAGTCTTTTGAAAGTTCAGCCTTAAATACTCTTGACTTCTTAATTTGTTGATCATGCTGCCTCTGTTATAGAAATATCAAATCTACCAAGTCGCATCGAGTGCTGTTTTCTTTGTCTGCTATCCTAATTTAAATTCAAATGTTAGGTGTTGAGTGCAGGTGTCTGATAAGACTGTGTGAGTTCCATACTGTTTGTAAGTGAAAAAATAGTAGCCAGGGTCCTTAATGTTTCTTACTGCGGATTATGCCAGAGTTTATGAGCCCAGCACCAAAGTATAAATGAAACTTAAACCCAGTAATTTGCATTTTTGCCTTAGTGTGATCTGTGACCAGCAATTAGCATGGTGTTAGTTGATTCTGAACTTTGCAGTAATATTAAGACAAAGTTCCTGCAAAGCAAGTACATTTGGGAACAAGTGATTGTGAACTGAAAAAAAAATACCATTTATTGAAAGCTTTGTATCAGAAATTCTTACAAAATTCACTTAACTCCTAATGTATGGATTAGAAGCTTTGTTACATTAATCCTAATTCTGCTATTAAGAGCTACAGAATTAGTAGTAATAAAAAGCCAACTTCAGCTGTCCTGCATTCCACTGTTGTGTCAAAATTCTGACTGACATCAGAATAGGCTGCAAGACTATGCTTTTATCTGTTTCTAGTTGTGCCTGCTCTCGCCTATATCTTATTTTTCATTAGCTTTTAAAATTAATACTGCACTCAAATTAAGTTTAAAAAAATATTTAAAAATTTACCTCAATGGAAAAAAAAAAGAAATATGTTCTATGTATACTGGCTCTTTAAGGCCAGGGAATTACAAGTTTTTTGTGTTTTGGTTGTAATTTACACTGCATTTCTGATCATAGCTCCTGTCCAAATAAGGATCAAATACGATATGTACCAGATATCATACACTTAGTCTCTACAGTAATAGCTCAAGTTGTTTTAAGTTCTGCAACGTGAGTGTGGATATCACAGTGGGACTACATGCAAATACACTACGATGTCACGTTAGCTGAGTTGAAAGCCGAACTGCTGTTAGCATTTCCTAGCAGCAAAAATGTTGAATTAAAGAGTGGTATATTCCTTCAGTTAATTTACTATTACCATTAGAATTTTTGGAGGTCAGGCGATTCTTATTTTGTTTAAAGACTTTCTGAAATTAATCATTTTTTAAAGGCAAATATTTTTAAGCTTTTTAAAGTAAATAAATAACTCATTATCACTGATCTATCTGGTACCTTGTTTGCCAGAGTATTAAAATGCTCAGGACAGGTGTAAACAGATTGGATGAATTCCTGGTTTGTTCCAAGTTAAAAATTCTTTGGAATTACAAACTGCAGAGCAAGGTATTGGCACTATCATTACAAGAAACAAGACTGCTGGACTCAAGAGCCTTTTAAAGAAATTAGAAATGTATGCGTTTTAAATTGGGTGAAAGTTTGTATATTTTAATTTTCTTTAGTGTGGTTGAAAAATAAAATTTTGGGGTTTGTGTGTTTCAGGATTTTGCTCTTAAGGAGATCCAAAACTGTGGAAAGAAACCATGTAATAGCACCGTGGATGTGAAGTTAACATATTGATCGGCTGTTCTCTTGACCACCTTTCAAACAGCTTCATTTAGATTTTGAATATATTTATCTGAGCTGCGTAGCTCACCCTGTTAATAAACCAATGAAACATTTTAATAAACTTGGATTACAGGGGATGCAAATTGTTTGTATGCCAATCTGTATATATGTAGACATTGGTTTTATTAGTAAACTGTTATCTTAATGCACTGTTTTGAATTGGTGACAGATAGTGATAATTAAGAATTTATTCTTTCCTTTTTTGCAGTTTCAATTTCTGGCTAAAAGACTTCTAATTAAGAAACGCCAAATATATGTATTTAATTTCTTTTTCAAATACAATGACAATTTTTATCTAAGAAATACTGGAAATTGTTCCCAATAGCATTTAAAAAAGGAGGAAGGAATTTCAGTGACCCTATATATTACTGATTAACTTTATTATATGACTAGAAGACATAAAAAATATACATCTTTTTAAAAGAACTATTTTACACAAGACAAGTAAACATTCATTTATTCTTTATTTATAATTTATCAGGCATTATGTCTATATTTTTAATCTGAGATGGAACCAAATTGGTCATTCACTTGGTGATAATACATGTTTATTTTCTTGTTTCCTACATGGAACTGGTTAGCCTGCTCCAACCTATGTTCACAAAGTCAGTTACCTAAGTGTCTAACCAAGTGCCTTTTTAAAATCCTTTCTGGGGATGTACATTCTCACAAGGAAGTTGATCTCACTTAACAGAAGATAAAGTAAAAATTGATCAGGTGCCCTCTTGATATAGATTCACTATAACTTCATTAAAGTTGATTACATTTATGCCAACTGAAAAAGTACCCTCATAGAAATTACTGGAGTAATTTCAACTATTTTACATTCACCGAGTTCACTGCCATATTCCTATTTATATCACTGTAAGTAAGTGGAGAATTCCATCCACTGGAGTAAAGTGTCCAAAAGAATTTTACCAGCTGGAATTAAAAATATAGATCTAGCTTTTTTCTTTTCCTTCTCTGGCATATAATACTATAACATAGTGACCTATTCAACCTAGGATAGTGTAGACATTAACATCCAAAGTGTGGCACAGCTCAGCCTTTAAGTAATTATCTGGTAATGAAGGACAAATTTGGTTGTTCATGGTTACTTCTTCTTGCAGTGGTTTCCGTACCAGCCCTGTGCCTCACAGGGTTCCCTGTACAACCGAGAAGAATTTTCTGACATTTACGTCTGAAATGGGCAACATTATACAAAACTGGATTCACAGCAGAGTTGGCAAAAGTGAATAACACTATCCAGAAGAAAACTGATGGCAAAATATTTAAATCGTGTTTGTAGTTCTGAACTAATATTAAAAGAATAATTATTATAATTGGGCTCCACATGATGAAGAAGGAGATCATCAACACAAAAAGGGCTCGGAATAGCTTGTAGTCTTGCTGGGAAACACGAATCTGATGCTTTTCTGAGTAGGCTAAACCAGCATTTAAACTCCTTCTTGATGCTTTTGTAATCTGTCATAAAAGAGAAGAAAGGAACATCCATTGAAACCTAGAACAATTATTAACACATTTTTGCAAGTGCACAAGTAAGTCTTGACATATGTTGTTACTATTTTGAAACATGGCTACAAAAAAGGCACTGCAGAATTTCATTTTCACTTTTTGTCAACGGTTCTATTTCAAACATTCTCACTTGACTAGCAATTTTTTTTCCTCTCAGCTGTGAACTCACCTCAATATTAGTCAAGCTGGTTGTTCTCATGGCTCTCTACCATCCATGAATACTATTCAGCGTAAAACAGAACCTTAATTACTCATGAAATCCCATTAACTTCAAATTAGGACCTCATTTGTTCTACCTAAATAAACCCATTGATTATTTTTTCACAAATGCAAACCAGAACACAACAAACCTGTTGATATGCAATCCAATTCTCTTACAGCCATGCTGATATTATAAGGTAGGTATTTAAAGGAGCAGGAATTTATCATATAAACCAAATCATGGTAAGATTTAAATGTGGATGGGACTTTATGTTAAGTTTTGTGTAAACTTTTAGTTTTCCAGTCAGTAATCACAATAGCTCTCTATGAACTAACATGAAATCTTACAGATCCTTTTGTCACTCGCAGAAAACTCAGAATCTCTAAGTCTGTTACTGTAAGTATTTAGCAAACAAACAATTATGCTACAGAATTGAGATGCCATTTTACCCTCTGCATGGGTAAAGAAGCCTGGGTCACTTTGGTGCCAAAGTAGAAATGACACAGGCGTAAGACTCTTCCTGCCACGTTTATGTGTGACATTTCCCTTTAGCAATAAGTAAAGGAAGGATAACACTGACACTAGTAATACTTGATAGCTTCACTTGATAGCTGAAACTTTTCGCTTTTTAAATTTAGGTGTTATAGTCGGGAGTCTTGAAGGACAAGAGGAACACCATTCCTGTCCTGGCCTCTGACCAGGGATGGTGGCATTCCTTGGCCTGCAGTTTTTTGCAGTTCTTTCAAAGGTCTCAGGCTCCCCACTGAGTTACTGTATGTTCTTTACCTACAGCACATACGAGGTTGCAAAAGGCAAGTGCTTTACTTCACTAGAAGAGGTTTACCTAATGCATTTACCTCAAGGTTATAATGAGCTTATAGAACGTACAGAAACTAGGAGCTGATGGGTTTGACTACGAGTTTAAGCCTGATCAATAGGCAAGTCTATGTAATGCCCAGATTCTAGCTCCTAGGTTCATCGAAACATCCATGTGCAGCTCTGGTGCAGGTACCCACAGTCTCTTGGCACTCAGCATTTCCTCAGTCAATTTTCTGATCAATAATATGTGGTTTTGAGGTTCCTTTCCAAAAGCTGTAATCTTCCATATATATAGGATGAGAAGTTTACTTACCTGATACAGGAATCAAGAATATTTTGGGGGCAGTTGCTATAAAACAGGCCCTGCCATGCCTAGTTTGAAGATTTCTAGCTCTTTCTCACTCCGTTCTTAGAAGAGGAAGGGGTACGAAATCAGATATTTTAAAAAGAATTTAGGTTGCTAATATCATGCTTGTTAGAATGTAGATTAAAACTCTGCGGTGCCTCATGTCTTGGCCTATATTTCAGCAGTTAAGCAACATCCACGCAGAAAGAAAGCGGAATCAGAGTGTTTAACTTAGAGGTTTTGTTTGCAAAGTTTGAAAATGTGAAGGAGTAAGTGTAGTCTAATGAGAGCTATGTAGTAAAAATACAGGCAGGACATCAGTAGATCTAAAAGGGGATGGATTTTTTTTCTAGTCCTGCCTCTCTTTGTTTTCTTATAAATCCCTTGTGACTCTGTAGTTTAGGCTCAAGAGAAGCTAAACCTAGTTTTTAGTTATTTCAGAGGCTTGACTCATTTAGCATTTAGGAGACGGACAGTCTTTAAATACCAACAGCACATAAATAGAGAAGTGTATTAAAAACTATATCTAAATGAAGACAAACTTTGTGTTGGGCTTCTGGTAATGTGCTGTTCAAGCATGTTCTTAGTTGAAACATATAGGCTGTTACATACAGGTCGAGTGCCTCATTTTATATCACATTTACTGAGCAAATGATGTCTATTCCCTTTAGGTGTATTTGTATTCAGTGACGATATGTTGATGCCTAGTGAGTTACTGTTTACTTCCCCTTGTTCTGCCACAAAACTGAAAGGAAAAACGTACCTGTAAGATTCTGGAATAACTGGTGACAATGACTAAACCTGGTATTAGAAAGATAACGACGACAAAAGTGACATCCCAGGCTATTTCTCCTCCAAAGCTGGGCCAAACCAAGGTGCAAATCTGCATCTCCTATTAATGAAGAATAAAGAAGAAAATTAACATTATACTGTTATTTTTACCCCAAAGTTGTCCTTATCTGTCTCTATGCCTAATAGGGAAAATGGCTGCAGCCTAAACGAGGCTGTGAAAACTCCATTCAAACAGAGCACCCAATTGATGTGCTTTGGTTTGTGGTTTTAAAACCCTATGCAATTATGAACACATGTGTTGTCCACGCTCTAAATATTGCTGTAAATTTTGCATCATACAGTAGCAACAACTTTAAAATTGAAAACTGATAGACCTTAATCTTGTACCTGAGTGTCACGTTGTGCATTTCAACGTCCTAAGCAGGAAAACCTGGGCATGGCCGTTTCGCATGGAGGCGGCCGCATGGGCTGGGCAGCTCTCCCAGGGTGCTGACGCCTCGGTCAGGGTGAAGCGCGCTGCAGAGGGCATTTCCCAGCCCTGGGGAACTCGGAAAAATCCCACCCGAGCGGCGTTTCATGCCCGAGGGGAGGGA